TATATATTATTTAATAATTTGGTGAAATGTTTTGCGTTGATTTTATTTTATCTTGCCAAAGGAGTTACTACCGGTGCACGCATCATACATGCAACGTGAAGAAACAAGTGCAAAGGCTATCTAAGGACACAAGCATAGTCGTCACGACTTATGAAGGAGTTCATGATCATCCATGTGAGAAACTGATGGAAACCCTAACTCCTCTTCTCAAACAGATGCAATTCCTTGCTAGGTTCTAATTATTAAGCTCACTTCTGCACAAGCAGACCCTGTTGTTCTTGGCCATCTTATATCAGTCTTTGTATATAGTGAAAACTTGTATAAACTTTTCCATCTTCCTTTTCTTTTCTTTTTTCTTTTAATTTTACAACTAGAAAGATCGATAGAGTTTTTATATGAACTGGAACTAAGTATATTTTTCAAATCCATCCAGAGCGAGTTATCCACATCAAAACAAAACATTAATGAGAATTTAGCCTCGTCCAATTGAAACTTAAGTTTAGATGATCAGAATAGAATAAGAGCGTCTTTTCTTGACATAAAACAGAGCTGTGCAAGTTTTTTTTTTTTTAAGATTTATTGTGTGTACCATAATTAATTTCATGTTCTACTAATGACAAATATATACATAAAAATTCAAACTTAAATACAATAAAAAAAACAGGCCCCTTCCACCATTACACCAATACCCTCGATCCGCTGTGCAAGCTTCTTAGTTTTTCAAGTGCTGGCCTTGTGAAAATGGTCCGCATTGTATGGAGAGAGAGAGGCGTCGAGATTAGAGAGCCGAATGTTGCGTTGTGCGGCCCATTCTCTCAATTTGGGCTAAGTGAGCAAATTCATTTATTAATGATCCCCTCACCAGATCCTGAACGGTTATTTTAGGTGTGAACTAGCCGGCAAGGTCGCGGCGACTCGCGGGATGCCGCAGGACTCTCTCTCTCTTTTCTTTTCTTGAACCTATTTTTATAAAAAAAATTCATAATTAAAATAAATATTTATAAGAAATAAATCAATTAAATTCTAGAAAAGAATTTTTATATATATGTTTATTCAAAATTCCTTTTTATTATTCAAGTTTCCCTCCGCCTTTTTTTATTTATAAAAGTATGTCTTTATAGCATTAAATTGTTTTCAATAAAACTTAAAAAAATTAAAATAAGTATTTGTAATAATTTCAATTATTTAGATTAAAAAACACCTTTTTTTCTTATTGACTGTTTTTATATGACAACTGGTCTTTTTTATTAGATGAATGATTCTTAGAATAAAACCTCATAATGATCTGAAAATAAATTTTAATAAAAAAATCATGCCTCTATAATTTTCAATTGGCTGTTGAAAAAATAAATTGATAAAATTATATAAAAATAAAAATAATAGGCATTTTATTTTTATTGGATATTCATGAGAATTTAAAAAAAAACTATACATATTAGTTTCATATATATATATAATTATTCATAAAGTAATGGTTAGGATTACCGTAAAAAACACTAATCTTATTTGAATATATAGCATAATCAAGTGGTTTTATATATATTTATTTTATAATTTTATTTAAAGAGAATTTTATATAAAATAAAATAGTTAAACAAATAAAAAATGTGAAGTCTACGGAATAAAGCCCAGGCATGCAATTGCAGCCCCAGGCATGCCAGGGCTTTTAAAAAAAGCCTCACGCTTCTAGGTTTGCTTACATGTTTTAAGAAAAGAGGCAAACACATAATGTCTTCTGCCTGTGTTATTTAAAAATAATAATAATAACAATAATAATAATAATAGATAGATAGATAAAATAACACAGTGTCGACATAAGGAGAACGCGACATCCACACCAATAAATTTTGACTATCTCTGATACTTGGAAATTCAGTTATGGGCAATTCAGACCGAAAAAAAAAATCCTTAAACTGTTTACACCCAAAAATATTTTAATAGCCTCGATTATTTTATTTTCAACTCCAATATACTATTTATAAATCTAAATATTAAAATAAAATAAAATAAAAAAGCTTAACAAACCCTAATTTTATTTTTTCAGCATGTTTAAAATATAAAACATCCTTCAATTATTCTCTCCGGGATAAATCCATTTAAGTCAGGGTCGATCTTTAACTTCTCACATGAGATATATCTCTTCAAATGAAGAGCTCCTTGTTATGTTTTCTATTTTACCTGTTTTGATGTTTTTAAAAATATTTTTTATTTAAAAATATATTAAAATAATTTTTATTTTTATTTTTCTAAAATTATTTTTAATATTAATATAACAAAATGATTTAAAAATATATAAAAAAATAAAATTTAATTTCTTATCCCCATCTCAAACCGGAAACAAACTTATTATAAATGGTAATCTTCCCCTTTATATTGCTGTGTATTTTAAAGAGATATGATTTTAATCTAATGATAAATTCAATTTTTTATTAATTTATTCTCTTAGATTTAAGATTTAGACCTCTTATTTAATAAGAAAAAAAATAACCCTCAATTAAAATTTGAACTTGGAATAGAAAGTTTTACAACGAAATAATCATTGGCATAGTTTGGAAATCCGGTAAGTGGATGAACTTAGAATCCAGTTAATTTAAGATTAGAACTCGGTCAGATTAAAAAAAAAAATTAATGTGATTCAACAACTTGGTAAAAACAAGTTAAAAACTTAATTACAGTTCGTTGATTTTTTAATAAAATAATATTATTTTAATTTTAAAAACCTGATTAAAATCTATAACTTGAATTTTCAACCGCGGTAGTTACCAAACTAGGTCTGCAAACTATGTTCATTGAAAATACTCCTACATGGCTTTCAATTTAACTTTTTGTTGCACCGGGTTTTACTGTGTGATCTTTGATGAAATTATTAGCTGGTGATTTTTTTATTTTTAAAATCTTGATTTTTATTTTTCTGAGTCACCCGAGTACTATTAATATATATATATATATATGAGTGCCTGTGGTCTGCGGTAAGTGAGAAGAAAAAGAATTTGTAGCCAAGAGTTTTGCGTGCTGGCGCGCTCTGTGGAAAGTAAGATTGCTACGGTGGTTAGATTTAAAGTGTTTTTTATTAAAAAATATATTAAAATAATATATATTTTTTATTTTTTAAAATTATTTTTTATTGCACCATATTAAAATAATTTAAAAATAAAAAATAATAATTTTAAGTGGAGAATAAATAAATAAATTTAAATTTTTCAAAAAAAATTAAAAATACAAAACATACATGTTTAAAATGCAAAAATAAATAGTATTTAAGTATTAGTTTTGTTTGGTATTGTGTTTTTAAAGAGAGGTTTGGTAAAATTTAAAAATTTTCTTATTTAAAATCTATATTATATTATATTTTTTTTTTATTTTGATATATTATTGTTAAAAATTAAAAGATATTATTTTAAATACGTGTCGTGACAAATAGAGATATGTTTGATATTGTAATAACTTTTGTAGTTATGGTTTGAACAAAATTGTTTTATAAAAAAAATTTAGTTGATGTTGGTTTGGTAAAATATATATTTGATTAAAATTATGGTTGAAATTGAAGTTGAATAAAAGATAATTGAATATGTTTAGTTAAAAATATTTTTTAAATCGAGGTTATAAAAAATATATAGTATTTTTTATTTAATGATGTAGTATTTTTTTTATTTTATTAAACCATCTGTAATTTTATCATTAACGAAATTCATCCAACAAAGATTATAGTTTCATAACTTCTCGAGCATACAATAAAATCAGGTAAATTATCATCAGAAATAAATTTGGGATAGCGGTTAAACTCTGCAAATGCTTTGTTATTAAGTGATTTTTTTCTAATGTAATTATGTAGTATAATTGAATAATATTAAATACTAGTTTTTTGAATAAAACAAGATATCTAAAAATTATTTTAAAATTTTTATTTTTTTTAATCAAACTCAATTCAATATATTTAGATTTGAGCTCGACCTAATCCGATCTATGGTCAGTAAAGAATGAATTAATTCATTTTCTATTATTCACTTTGCAAAGTAATAGCGACTGAGAAATGCAATAAAAAACATAAAAAGAAAAAGAAAAAAAAGGAGAGGAAGAGTAAGCTATCTTGCACGGCGATGATGTTTGCTTGACAATCAAAACAATGGAAATCAGTGGTGAACTAAAGGAGCTGCTTGACTGATGGACAATAGGTTCTAAGAAGTTTGATATTCCTCCAACGAGTTTTTTCTCTTTAAAAATATGTGTTTTGTGGCCACACTATTTTGTCGATGAATAATTAAAAAACTAAGGTGAGTTGCTATTTCAAAGTTTAGCTTTTTTGTTTTTGCTAAACCTAGGTGCAACCTTAATTTATAATGGGTTATATCTAAACAAAACCAAGTTTTTACTTTATCAAATAGTAAATTACTCTCAACCTTCTACAGGGTAATATTATTAAACAACCACTGCTAAAATATACATGGATTATCGATTTAGAATATATATTATTTGTTAAATAAATAATTTTTTAAAAATATTTTTTCAATATATTGTCAATCAATCAAAGAATATTTTAAAAAACAATCTTATAATATTAAATAAACACTTAATAAAAGTCCAGTGTGATTTGTTCTCCCACTGTTAAGAGTTCTAAAAATTCAACAAGTGGAATCAGAACTATTCGTTCTCCAAATAAAGAAGTTTACAATGGTGTCCCGTACCCGAGCCGAGGGTGTTCAGCCCATAATTAGTGCGCATCCATACATAAGCCCAGGCCGCACTCTGTCTGCTTTGAAATGGTGGTAAGAGACGTGTCAAAAAATTAAAGGAAAGGTGACGATGCTGGAAAATATATCCAGTAGAAAGATTGTCATTAAATTAGATTCGAAGGACTTAATGGCACAGGGATACCTATTAAAAAAAAACACGAACACTTAAATTCGTTCAGTCGTGTATAGGTGACGATAATAATGAGTATTTTTTAAAATTAAATGTTTTAAAATTTTGTATTAAATTTGTGTGGTGTCAGAATTAAAATTCGGAGAGGAGTTGCATTTTAGCTAATTGCTAATTTATCTTTGAATTTTTTTATTTAATTATTAATTTATTATAATTTGTTTTTCCTGGATTTTCCCTTTGTTTTTGGACCGAATCCAAGAAAAAAATCTAGGATAAAATCATGGGTAAAATATGCTATCTTGAATTAATTTAAATCAAATAAATTTTTTTATTTTATAAAATAATAAAAATAATATCATTTAAAAAAATCAAGGAAAATAGTTGATAATTATTTATTAAGTTTGCCATGGGTTAACTGGGAAATTGATCAATCTAAGTTTTTTATTGTTTTATACTAAATCAATTTTACTCTA